ATGAGGAAGCCTGAGTTACAGACCCCCATATGGCCACAGATACACTTTGACAGTAAGGAGAATGCAACTGCAGTGCACAAATCTGACCCAGAATAAAAAAATCTGGGGATGGTGCAAAGCAATTCCCTATGTTTTCTGCTGGAAGCTTTGAGGATTGTTGTCCCTGGGCTCCTGGTTAGGATTCGGGAGCAGCCGGGAAGGAGGCTGCTGTCTGAGCAATCCACCCCGAGCTCTAACCCCGCGTGGTACCTGCTCCGGGCATCCCTGGGGGCTCAGCCACGTTCCCTTATCCAGGCCAGCAGAAATAGCTCCTCGCTTCCTGATTTTGGAGGAGGTGTGAAGTAGGACACAGGATTATTAGGAAGCGGAGTAGATACCTCCTGTGAAATATCTTGCTTTGAGATGAGATATTTTGCTTTCCCTGATCCTTGTGCAGGGATTTCCCTTTGCGGAGGCCTAGCAGGGGAGAAGTTTGCAGAAAGGAAATTCTCCAGGAGAATAAGGTATCGAGCAGATTTTGGGGAGCATTTTGAGTTTTTCTTCATGTAGCCCTGACCAACAACCAGTCCTGCAGCTTTTCAGCCTCAGAAGTGTCTTGCTGCTGGCACACTTTGGCAAAAGGCTCGGGGATTTCCTGCACTGACTTCTCAATCTAGAAGGAATCTGGGGGCTCGTGTGTAATACCACCAACCAGACCCTTCCAACCTGGCTATCTCCTCCGTAAGTTTTATTAGAGACTTTTCAGTAACTTAAGTGTAGATAGAAGAGCTTCTCAAAAAGGGCTCTGTGAAGCTGAGGCACAGCCCCATCGCGAGCCCCCCACGCCACCAAAGGCTGCAGAGAGATGCAGTGCAAGGGGGCTAGGACAGATCCTGCAGCCAGGGAGACAGAGAAGCGCTTTCAAGCATTTTACTGCAGAGATGACTGGGGAAGTGGCCTGGGGCCTGGTTTTCTCCTCGCGCTGTCCTCGGCCGGGTGAATCACACTGTGTGGCCTGGCGGACGGTGCTGCTGACCCAGAACCTGCCGGGTGCTGCTATGGGGCTCAGGGTGGGGCCGAGCTCGGATATAGCAGCATAAGGCAACTCCGTCTCGCAGACCCCTTCGCTGGAGCTGATGTCCGTGTGTGCTGCTGGACCCGTCTCTTCCATGACCTGCTGCGAGGTGGGTTCTCTTGCCCCTTGGGCTCCTGCCTGCCTTGCTTTGGGCTAGATGACGCTGCAGTTGCACCCAGGGGTGCTAAGAAGGCAGCTGAAGGCCAAGTGCTGTTGTTGGAAACCAGCCGTGAGTTAATGCGCCGCCTGTGATTAATGTGCTCTCTTAAACGCATTCGTGTCCTGTCGCGCTGGCTGCGGCTCTCGTGTCGCACTCGGTGTTCTCTGAACATCTATTAGCCTTACAGATCCCCTGATTATTGCTTTCTCTTTTATAATTAAGCCGTGAAACACAGCACGGCGCAGCTTATGTGGTATTAATTCATGCCTGGCGTATTCTGCTTGTGCCCTAGGATAAGGCTAAATGCTGTCAGCTGGATTGGTCTCAGCACAGTTGCTACCCTGAAATTTTTGTAATATGATTATAAAAATCACATTCGGTGTGCTTGTGGACAAGCTGGGGCTGGCTGCTGCTGGAACCAGAGCAAGGCAGGCTCCGACTTCCTTGGAAGCAGGATCAGCCCCAGTAGAGCAGTGGGAAGAGGCTCCCTTCTGGCCTAGATGCTCTCCAGGGTCCACGTTGTGGTTTGGTGTTTGTGCATCTTCCTCCTTGCTCTTTGTCCATCTCGGGAGATGTGTGAAAATGTCTGTCTCACGACTGAGTTTTTTCCCCACTCCCTTTCATCCTGCCCTGTGTTTGAGGTTTAAACCGAATCCCACATCTCCTGTTAGGCTGCTGCTATCCTCCCAGCCGGTCACTCCTGTGTCTGTGCGTGTGGAACAGAGTGGAACACATAGGAAAGCATATCTGAAATATATGTTGAAATTTTTATTTTCTTCCCATCATAGGAATGAGATTTGGGAGCTGAAGGGGTTGAAGCTCAGCGTTACCAGCAGGAAGATGGAATGGTCCATGCATCCATGCCTGCAGCCTCCGGAGGTGATCACGGGCCAGGGCCTTGTGTCACAGGCTATCTCTGCTAGGCAAGTCCAGACAGGCCTCAAAGCTGCCTCCTCCAAGGCTTGAGCTGAGCTTTGCTGTGCAACATGCTTGGCCGCAGGCCCTAGCAACTCTGCTATCAATTCAATATCGATTACCACATTATTACTAATCAAACCCCTTACATAGAGACTCAAATGCTGATGCATCTCATCCTAAAGCTTCTGTTTCAGGAAAACGGTGCCAAAACCAACGAGCAGCATCCAAAGCTACAGGGCTGAAACTCTTGGAGCTGAGATGTTTCCATGGAGATGGATCTTTGATCTCATTGTAATAAAAAAAAAGCCTGGAAAAGATGCTCCCAAACTACTGGCAAAGGGAAGGCCAGGGTCTACTGGGCAGACGTCTTCAGCAGGAATGAGGGAAAGGAGGTGAGTGAGGAGATTTGGGGGATTTTTTTCTTATATTTCCTCCCTCTTCCCCCCCCCCTCCCCCCCGCTTTTGGGTGACAGAAAAGCAATAACAAGGATTAAGGAGAATAGCTAGGAGCCATCGCTCGTGTTTGATTGCCTGGATGAGCCTGTGCGGCCACATGTAGCATCTCGGGTGGTGTTCAGGGTATGTGCTTAGCCATGGAGCTGTGTTGGTGGGTTCCTCCCTGCATCTGCAGCCAGGACTCTTCATTATTCTCCCTGCCTGTGAATAGACTGGCAGATCAGCTCCTTGCTCTCCTCTCCCATGAAACTCGAACAGGTTTTTCCGCCTTGTTTTTGCTGGACTCTTCACGGGTAACCTGATGCATAAAATCCTCTGCTGGGTCAGAGTTGAGGTTACTTGGTGGCAATGAAAATGTCTTTGCTCAAAGACTTTTGTCCCTATAGCTTTGTATCCTGCTTGCTGGCGATGCTCCACTGAGCAGTTTTCCCCATGTTTTGGACAAGATGGGATTGCTGCGCGGCCACGGATGTTCATCTCCTGGTGGGGACAGGCCCAGATGGATGCTGTCACTTAGCAACCAAGGCCACGTTTTAACTGCAGCTTCTTGTTGCTGGCAGGTGATGCAAGTCGCAATCACGAGACCCACCTCGCAGCCGGTGTTTGGGTTGGCTGCAGCGCTCACCCAAAGCCCTGCTCGCCCTGCAAAGGGCCTGTCGACGTTAGGAGAGTTGCACGTGTGATTGCTGACACAGCCTCACTAGGCTTCGCTTCGCAGCTAGCTTAGCTGGGCCGGGACCATAGAGCCTAGAAGAATGAGGACCAGCAAATAATGCAATGGGAGAATTAGATTTGCAAGTGCATCCATCTCCTGAGAGCACCTCCAACCTGCCTAGCACTGAAGCTAGGATTGGAGAAGGGCAATTCTGTACAGCTCAGGACCCAACACATCATAGAAATTGCTAAAGCCTGCTTTAACACCGCCCCTCCTCAACCTAACCAAGGAGCATCCCTAAGGAGCAGTCCCACGCGCTGTCCCAAGCTGCAAGCTCCTGCCTTTGCATGGAAAAGCAGCCTTGTAGCTGCAGGACCAGCTGGGCCAGCAGCTCACCCTGCATAGGTTTGTTTTGGAGGCAGCCATGTGATGGAGTATCGTGTGAAACATGCCCTGCCCTGTTGTGTTTATGGTGAATACACTTCTTTGAACTGCTGCGCTCCAAGCAGGGATTTGGTACTGCTGTTACTGATGGTCTGAAATTAGATTTTCTCCAGGTTAGCTTAGTTTTGAACAGGACAGCTGTGTGGCTGCACTGCTGGTGTTGCAGGGACTCAACCAGGCTGTTTATTTCCCTTTCCAGCTGGGGATAGGGGTGTCCACAACGAGCAGCACACACGTATATAACAAGTGGCCTTAACACTTCCATTAGAGTTCTCCCTGCTCGGCTTTATTCCCTTCTTGTTCCGCACAGACTCAACACTTATAGAAGAGGGTCATTCCACTTCCATCTCCGTGTGTGGCTGGCAGGTTACGAGCAAGGGCTCTGCTGCCCGTAGCAAAGCGTGTGACGCAGAGCGAGGGCTGGATGTGTTCGCTGGTGTTCTGTTCCCCAGCAGTGGACAGAAACTGCTGCTCGCAGAGGGAAATGATGCAGCTGAGAAGGGTGTTGCTACCAATACATTTTTTCCCCTTAAACTGCTGAGAACTTCTGCCACGAAGCTGCTTGCCAAGTTTCCTCTGTCGTGGTGGCTTTCCAAAAGCCAGGACTGTGTCCTGAAAGGTGGAGCGTGCTGGAGACGGACACGAGAAATTTCAAAGCTGTGCATGAAACGAGCTGTGATTATAGCTCACATATATCTACGCTAAAGCAACCACCTTAGGCATTTATGGCCTGTTTTTGACTAAGTTATGCTATTACTATAATTGGGCAAAGAACAGTCTTCAGCTTTTAAAAGTCTAGTATGTTAAAACAAGCAAAAAAAATGAATAGCCATTCCTCTGGCAGCCTTTATAAAGCCATAAGTAGCGTAGAGCTGAGCCAAAGATACTTGTTCTCCAATGCTTCTCTTTGAGGCTGAGCGGTAAAGGGATAAATCCTTTCTGTGGAGCTGGAAGCAGCCTTAGGAACTTCGTACCTGCATGCAGATCAGGCAGCAGAGCCCACATTGCACCCTTCCCTGATGAAAGGGTGGCAGGGAGCTTTGTAATCCTCTTCTTCCACGGGATCAGTCACTGGAGACTTAGATTTTTTTCCTAGTCTGTGATGTTCTGCATTGATCCTGCTTGTGTTCCTGCTAAGATGCTTCACAGTGAAGGCCACGGCTTGGGTTAAATCATCTGTCGCGTGTGCACAGAAACCCTCTCTGGTGCCCGTCTCTCGCAGGAATTGTTCGGCTACAGCTCCAAGGGGGAAAAAGCAGCAGTTTCCACAGAAACCTATTCCAGAAAGGGAGCTGGCAACTCCAGCCTTTTCCATAGCTGAATGCCTGGCAGATCCCCCCGTGTCACTGGTCCTCGGTGCGTGACCGTTGTGTGCTGGGGGTGCACGGGTCGTGGAGGAACTGTTGTTTTAACAGCGTGAAATGGTGAGTACAAGAGCAGTTGCTGAACTTAACGCTCAGGACGTGGAGTCCCAAATTCCAGGACGTGTTTGGAGTAACAAGTCTGTTTTGCAGGACTGTGAATAAGGCTCCTTTTTCCTTTTGGCGCATCATGATCACAAATACTTAGCAAGAATTACCAAACAGCATAAATTCCTAACCCCCGAAGAAAGCTCTGTGCCTGGAATAAGGATCTTATGCAAAAAAATTGCTTCAGTGGGTTGAAAATGAGCTACCAAGTGGGGTAAGGACTTGCACGTGATTTCTTAACATGATAAAAAGAGGGCAGACCTAGAGTAGGTGTCACTCCAGAGCAGAGTAAATGCACCTAAATGTGAAATCGGACCATTAGCTTAGTAACACCTCCCCAGGGCTGTGCCAAGTCCAGGAGAGATGATTATAGACGGAACTGAAAAGGTAAGTTTTTTTTCCTGCAGTCAAATATGCAGTAGGTAATTCTCATATTGTCTTGGAGAACATGTACTTGAGAGCAAATCCTATTAGTTCTCTTTCTCTCACTGAACTCTAGTCCTGATTTCTCTTAGACTTGTTCATCTACACATTTAAGGATAAGATAGTAAGATAATTCACTAGTAGTGCTTATTTACAAATTGGGTAGATAAACTTTTGGCTTAGAAATATATATGTATTTTTTCTGCTGGAAAAATGAAAAGATCTTTTTGTCTCGCATGTTCTCTCTATTTGCTGTCACTTGGCTCTTCAGCTGCTTGCTAGATGTTTGTAATGCTTCAGCTTTCTCCCAATTCGCAGGTGCAGGATGGCAGCCCCAGCATCAGGACTAACAAGACTTACTACTATAACTAGAAGAACAGAGAAGCCATAAAACAAGACGATGTTGTGAGATCAAGAGGAGCAAATGTGCCAAATCAGCATTGAGTTGTTTAATTGCTGGATTTAGAGACTTCTTTTCCATGAAAGACATCCTTTTTTCTTCTTGCCAAGGTAATGAGCAAACCTAGTTTGGCCCTTTAGTTGTATGACTTTTATTGATGCAGGCCATTCCGCCTATAAAAAGGACTATGGAGTTCAGTTGGACAACCTGTATTGTGTCACTGTCCTTCCAGCCTATAAAATAGGAAAAAAGTTCCACTAAATGCAAACAGGACTGAGAATGTAGAGCCCTCCCTAACATGCAGTGGCTTCTCCTGTAATAAGCAGTTTGTTCAATTTGCTGCTACTTGAGTAATTCCTTGGAATCTCTAAAAGCAACCTTGAAATGTCAAGAATTCTAGTGCTGAAAGGGAAGAATAAATCCCCCTCTGCAACCTGCTTATCTGCTTTCCTGGAGTGTATATGCCCTAGTGCCAAGATGTGATATTAGTTTTGGAATTTTAGCCCCTTCATCAGGGGATAAACCTCTACAAACAGCACACGCTCCTTTAAAAGCAGTTCCCTTCTCCTTTATTAACCCTTCCAAATTAAGAGCAAAATGCAGGCTCAGGAAAAGGCCAGAGCTTTCGTGCCTATCTTCTATCTTCTGCCATGTGTATGAGCAGCAGAAGCTACTTTTTCTGCAAAACAACTGCTGTTACAATACCCAAGGGCTCTATCATACATAAACCCGTATGCAGAGTGATAGGCAAGTGTGCTGACCTCATGGAAAGGCACAGAGTGAACTACATCTAACCACCGCGCACTGCTGCAGGGATAAAACTGAAGGCTGACATTTTAGGAGCAAGCATCTCAACTGCAATAAACACTAGAGCCTCCATTAGGCTAAACTGAGTGTTATGTTCCCGCCTTTATAGTAAGCTAAAACAGGATAACTGTTTTTTTTCATGAAATGGCTGCAGGTGTCAAGGTGTCAATTACCAGTTAGGAACTATTCTAGTTCTTTAGGAATTGAGAACAAAAGTCAACAATCTGGGACTTGCTCCTGACTTAAATTTAAAAAGCATCAATTAAGGATTTTGTCAGCTTTTTAGTGTCATCACAGAGATGAGACTGGTGTGTGAGTAGTATTTACCTGTGGAAGATGAGTTATAAAACCCGTACACTTGTAATTTCTTGAATGCTGCCTTCTGTTCGAACTGCAACAGGAACCCCAGGTTTAGAATAAGGATATGGACGGGTAAGAACAATGCCTTTTAAAGCCAGTCTTGTAAAAGTTTAGCTAATTTGGCTTTAAAATGACCGTGCAATGATTTGAATTCAATTGCTTGTTTCTGTTTAAAGAAATATGACATTTCTTCCTGGCAAGACCTAATGCTTCCCTAAATGATGTACAAATTACAGGCAAAACAAATGAATTTAATATATTTACTTTGAAAAATAGCTCAGCCAATCAATTATAAATTACATTTTATCAGAAAATTTTAATCAGTTTTAAATCAAAGATTGTCCAACCCGTTTAACAAATAACAAAACCTTTTTCTTTAAATAGGGCAGCCCTTCTTCAGAGACTCTCTCAAGAAAAACTTCGTGACTAGCAAAAATTCTTCTCCAAAAGGCAACGGCTTGAAGCGCTGCTCCCTCAAAAGCAGAAGATGTCTTTAGTAGCAATCGGCTTCGTTGTCCTCTGCAGCCCCCACAGCAGCAAGGATGTCCTGTAAGAGTGACTGAGGGCTTTTTTCCACATGGTCACTGCTTTTGTTCAGATCATCGTGCAGCTCTTCCAGGTCTATTGTTCCCAAAGCCAGCAGCATGCTCTCTGGATCTTGGAAGTCAACCTCGTGACTGCTGCCCGCGGGGAAGGTCTGGGCCAGAGATCCCTGCCTTAGTGTCCTCTGTAGCCAGGCAATGCCATGTCCTACTTCTTCGGGGTCTTGAGAATCCTTCAGGGAGTTACTTGGATAAAAACTGGATCTTATGGCAAGCAGTATATCACAGGCTTTCTGACCCACTGGCCTGTCACAGTCGCACAGAGAGCGAAATAAAAAGCCAAACAGTTTCGCTCGGCAAAATACCTGCAGCGACTCATTGTGACAAACGGAGCTAGTGAACTCGGGTGAGAAAGGAGCATAGGGGCATTTAGGGCGGCCACATCGGCAAAACGTCTGGACAAAGAAAACTTCAACCAGCTCCAAACCACCAAGTCTGACTTCCCAGTCTAAGTCCCTCTCCGCAGTCTGGATCACCTCAGAGACGAACTGCTCTGTATCCTGCAGCAGACTGGTGTAACCTTTCCTCAGCCACTTGATGAAGATGTTGATCACAGCCCTTCTAGGAAAGCCCTCTGGATCTCTAGACAAGATTTCCTGAAGCTTTGCTACAGTGTTCTAAATACAAAAAGACAGAATACACGAAGAAGAAGAAAATAAGTTAAAAAAAAAAAAAACAAGATAGTGTACGTAAAAACTCTAGTCCCTTGTCACTGCTGTAGCATCTTATTTAAATGGCTGTGAAATCTGACTGTAGGTGACTTCAAGGAAGTTATAAATAATAAAATAGCAAACTAAAGTGTAGTTTTGCTTGATTCTGCTGCTGTGGGCTACACAAAGTTATCATACCTCTTTATTGTATTGATTCCCTGTGACAGGTGACTCCGGAGCAACGTAAGTAACGAGGATCAAGTGTCCTGCAGCAGTCACAGCACTTGCTCGCACGTAACTCTCCGGGTCCCCAAGAAGATCTTCCGTAAGTCTTGGCACCTCTGAAGACAGGAGTGTCTGCCTGAACTCATCGTGGTCTGTAAATAAGACAGCAATCCAAAGAAGTGAGGATTTATTCTCTCAGAGCTTGAAGTTGTTTCCAATGCAAACAATCCTCTGCATCAGACAAGGACGCCCACTGACTGCAGGGACAGCTGCCAGTGAGCTGAGCTGCTGCAGAGACCAGGCAGCTGCTCGAGGAGCACAGATGCTCTGTGTCAGGCTCCTCATTTTGCAGCATCTTGGTGACCTCCAGTCAAGCCCTGCTGAACACTGAAGTCGGGGAAAAAAATCTATTTGCAGTTATTCTAAGGGCAAGAACTGATGAAACTTTAATGCTACCTGCTGCAGTGCTTCAGCATTGAGAAGTGGAAAGTCAGTAATTGATCCAAAGCATGGAAAGAAAATCTGTAACTCAGCACCTCTTAAATCCCAGTCCCCAGCTTGTTCAGTGGAACCAAACGGATTCCACTCTAGAGCAAATGGAGAAAAGGGGAAGGATTATCTGCCATTAAGGACTGACACCTGCTTAGACATATTTTGAACGTCTCAACCTACGTTAGCTTCATTCACTACAACTGCCACTGAGGAGGACACAAATCTGAGCTGAACAGGAAAGCAGGTTACTCATCTTTTGGAAGACTTTGATCATAATCTGACATTTTTTTTCTCTCTAATCTTTATACACAAGAGGATGCTTCACAGGCCTCAGCGACTTTTACAGCATGAAAAGAATCTGAACCATCCTATCTTTACACTCACCTCTCAGGCCGTTAATCAAGACAGTGAGGAACTCCAGAGAAGAATCCCGTACTTCCCAGCAAGGACTGCATAAACGCTTCTGCAGCACCAGAAATACATCTGTCAAAGACAAGCGAAAGGCTTCGATGGACATGAAAAGTAACAAGCCTCACCAGAGCAATCACTGTACAGCCTCTATATCATTTTATCAGAGGCAAGCCCTTCTTTTGTTGCGGTGTGCCTCCCATACAGGGCACTGGCAAACTACACTCCAAGAAATTGCAAAGGAGCAAGTGAGCCAAGCAGGAAAGGTTGGTAACAGCACATTTCATGGGTGCTGCCTGCTGCTCTTTGTCCCAAACGGAATAGTTTTGTTACCTTGCAGAATCTTCTTGATTTGCCACTGGCTGCTGAAGCACGACATTTCAGGTAAGCACACTAGCCATTTGGATGTAGCTTGAAATGATTTTTTCAGAACCTGAAACAATGTAAGGCAGATTTAGTTTAATACAGAAGAAAGTGGTTTTTTTTTTTTTTTTTTTTTTTTTTTTGCCTTTACACTAGGTAGAATTTATTTCATCCTCCAACTATGAGGGAATCGCCAGGAAAATACAAATATCCATCCTTATTAAGTAAGCCACAAAAAATGACCCCTATATTCTATTTCTAAAAGCTTCTAGAACAGGGCTTTTCTCAAGCTAGTAACATAAACTACTAGTTTCTCCATGTTTTGATTTGCAGGGGTCTTCTGAGCAATTCTGACAAAACAAACAAAATTCCTAGCCCTAACAACTGGATCCTTAAGTCATGTCAAGTTTAGTATGTTGCTGTTGCTCCTAGATGTGATGGCTCCCGTCTTTCACAAGTGTCTAGCTACTAACCTGCCAAATTTAGCTATTACCTGCAAGCCACCCAAAACCCAAGTAAACCTCCTACATATGGAGACCAACAATGTTAAGAAGGAACTGTAGTCAGACTATTTCTCAGAACTAGATGTTCGGGTAACAAGCTTGACTTGTGTCCTAACTCCTGTCCTTACCATAGGATTTGTGTTGGGACTCTCCAGGTATGACAAAAGGATGTCAAATAAACTCTCTACAGGTACGTCACATCCTGAAACACAGAGAATGGGTAACTAAAGGTCCAATATTGAGAGAAAGAAAAAAATATTGTGCTGGAAGATATAAGATTATTAAAACTGCCTTTTGGAGAAGAAAACAAATACAGTCCTGAAAGCAAGGGAAAAAGCTCCGACTTCTCAAAACCACTAGTTAAAACTTTTTTTAATTACAGCATTACCTGCACTAGCTTATTGATGGAAATTAAGGCTAACCAACAGCACAGAAGAAACTGAAAAATGAACAAACTTCAGAAATAAAAATGGTGGTCTTTGCTCAGAGACTGCAGTGAAGAGGTGGAATGAAAAAGTCTGCAATTACATAATGGTCAAGTATTTCCAAAAAAAAATTAAAAATGAAGCACAAATATAACTCACCCTTCTGCTCTGACAGCACAGCCAGGACATCAAGAGCTGACCTCTGTACTCTGAAGCAACCAATCAAAGTTTGGCTTATCTTGCTGCCCAGAGGAGAAGTTGGAATGAGGAGGCCGTTACAGAATCGTAATATTGTCATGACGGAACGCAGCAAAGATGTACCGGGTAAATCCACTGGCAAATGACTCTGATGGAAGAAGAAAAAAGTTCCCAACAAATGTCTCAAATGTGCAGACTGGGGGTTCTTGGTCAGGACTTGTGCAAAAACTGCAATTTCTAGTGTGTCTATTTTTATTGGGCCACAAACAAATTATCTCTCTTTTTCCCAGAGAACTATTGCACAAATGGAAGGAAACTCCTGTCACTCCCTGGGAAATTAGTTCAATTAATTTTTCATGGGATCAATATTTGCAGGAGAAGTAGGGTATGAGTAACAAAGCTCTTTGTCTTTGCAAGTTTCTATACATGTTTTGTTCTCTTATCTGGAGTCTACTGGGCTAGATTTTGTTAACATACAGAAGCACCTCCCCAACCTTCAACATATCTTCAAGTTCTGTGAAGTTCTATTGCACAAGTTACAACCCATCTTAATACTGTGCTTTAAAGACTAGTCTCATCCCTGGGCTTTTATTTTGCTGAGTGTTACCAGAGAGAGTAGTTCTTCCAGATGACCGAGAGTCTGACACAGGAGACTAGCACAAGACGACTTGGAGGACAGAAGACTTTCAACAGTGGCAGGATCAGTGACAGACTCATCCAACAAACCTGGAGGAGCAAAGGAGAGAAGAGCTCAGGTTGCTATTTAGTGAGCACAAAAGACAGTGATTTTCAAGTATGGATGCTAATCAAGAATTTCAGGTGATTAATTTGAATTGTATCCCTTCAACTGCCATCTTATCAATCTGCAGGATGCTGAACTTCACTGAAAACACCGTCACTGTCATTGACTTCTTTCAGTCTTTCTTCTCCAACAGTCCCTGCCAAGCAGAATAGTCTCTAACTTTTCCATCACCACAGTACCTGAATATTCCAGAGGCTGGGAGGCTGCTCTTAAAATGCAGTCCATTGGCTGAAGCAGAACAGTTACTGCCTGAATCCTCACATCTTGTGGGCTTCAAAGGAGGAAACAGGAGTCAACAATAAATCAGAAATGCTTCAATTCTTGCTCTAACCATGTGCCCCAGATGTTGATCAGAACAACAGCATTTTTCACCTAGTCTTCTGATCATGCCAGTGACTGTCAGAAGACTAATGCAACTATTACCAGGATTCAAGTCTTCTTCCAAGATTCCTTGGCTAAACCAAGAGCAGAGGAGAAATGGCTCTGAAAATGATAAGCAGCCTCAGCAAGCAGTGCACACAGAGATGGTGCGATCCTGTGTGCAAAGCTAGTTTAAAGGGAGGTGTTGTTTTTCCTCAACAAAATAGTGCCTTAGCTGTAAGGATACCATTCGTGTCTAAAACGCATTAACTATGGGCATGGTCTTGCCAACCAGTCTCATGTGCTAGCAAAGATAACAGAAAATGGAGAGAAAACAGCTTTCAAACACACCAGACATTCGGTACAGAAACATCTGCAAACTGCACAAAATCAATAGCAGCAACTCCTACCATTTGTGCAACCTCAGAATTCCCACTGCCAGAGGACCTGCTTGTACAGGGGTTAAATGTTCCAGAGCAGATGTCACTAATGGCCAAAAACTGCTTTCAGGTTCACAAAACACAGGAGACCTGCGAAGAAAAAGGAATCAATAACGTATCCTATAAGCATACACACTGGAAAATGGGGTTTTCTCATCACTGGATCCAAGTGCCCAGATCTTCACCTGGACATGTTAAGCAAAAGATCCGCCAGCAGGTGCGGTGCTTGAACGGACTCTTCCGTCAGGAAGGACTGTACTTGCTTAGCTATACCCGACCACAGCACTTCAGTCCAGGGCGCGTGACAGCTGCCAAACAAACCAGCTAACAGCTTTAACGACTGCTTCACGTGAGACACAGAGCTGGACTGAAGGGAATCTTCTATGTGCTTTACAATCACTTGGGCGCACGGGGGCCAGTAGCAGACCCTGGTGCCGGGAGCTTTAGGCATTTCATACTCAAGGGAGAAGGAGAGCGTGTGCACCAGGAGCCGCCGGGCAGCTGAGGCCACGAACAGGCTGGGGTCTCCCTGCAGAGTGAAGATGACATCCAGGGCTCCTGTGGCAAAACAAAACACGTCACTGAGGGCAGAAAGGGTGGAGGGAGAGGGGAAAAGTCCTTTTTTGTGGTGCAAAGTCTTGTTGCACTCCTTAACTCCTTAACAAACAAGCAAAGGAAGAATGTGGAATTATTTTCAGACCTCAGGTACTATCAGTAATTCAGGAAGAGAAGAGGCCTTCAATGTAGGGTAAGTATTTTGGGGCGATTTGACAGCACCCTTGCTGTGTATTTATGGAGGTGCTTTTTCTATCTGCACACATGGCTGATAAGAGAGATGAAAAGGGAACTGCAGCAACAATGCTACTTTTCCTCCACATTGCTGGAGCACAGGTATTCCATAGCTTAATACCAATTCAGTGTTTTAGACCCTTCCACGAAGAGAATCTAAGCCTGATGTTAGGAGCATGGAAGCTTACAAACCTGCAGAAACGCAGTGCAACTACAAATGTGAGTATTCATAGAGGAAAAGTGAACTTCCAACTTGTTTTTTTTTCCTGGGGTAAAATCAGAAAACTGAAATATGTGCTTGGCTAAGAATAACAAATAAGAACACAGCAGTCTTATAACAAATCCTTTTTATCCCACGTTTTGTAAGATGTTCCTTTTCCCCTCTGACAGAAACACCATTTTTAGTGTTGAAAAGGGTGAAACAGAGGGTTTAACGAAGAAGTTCTCTTTCACTACCCTGTTTTTCCCCACATACAGCTTAATTTCCTCCTCAAAAAGGGAGAACAACCCCGCCGGCCTGCAGTGCCCACGCAGCCATCCCGGTGGCGGGGCGTGGGGGCACGCCGGGGTGCCGGGGTACTCACCGTGGGCGCACAGCAGGCGCAGCGCGGGCTCGTGGAGCGCCATGCTGCGCGCGCCGTCCAGCCAGGCGCCGCGCACGGCCGCGTCGGCCCAGGCGGCGCCGGCGCGAGGCCCGGCCTCGCCGAAGAGCCTGGCCAGCAGCTGCTCCTGCTGGGGCCAGAGCACACGGTGAGCCGGGGGGCCGCTCGTGCCCGGCCGGTAGCAATACCAACAAGGCAGGGGCTTCTCCCGCTCGCCCCGTGCGACTCACCTGCAGGTGCTGGAAGGCGCTCTCGGAGGCGGCCAGCAACCCCGCGAGCCGCAGGGCGAAGGAGAGCAGGCCGGCGCCGGGCTCGGGCAGCGCCAGCACGGCGGCCAGCAGCTCCGCCAGGCACGGGTTGTCCTGCAGCAGCTTCAGGCCGGGCTCTGCGGCGGCGGGAGGGAAAGCGGGGAGTGAGCGGGGCGCGTCTGAGGCGGCCGCGGGCCGCGCGGCGGGCGCTCACCGGCCTCGCTGAGCTCCCCGAGCCAGTCGAGCAGCTTCTGCAGGCAGGTGTCGGCGGCGGCGGGCGGGCGCGGGCCGGCCAGCGCGGCGCACACGCGCGGCAGCAGGAGGCCGCACTCGCGGCTCATGGCGAAGCGGCGGCGGCGCCGCGCACCGAACCAGGCCTCC